ACATCCTAATCTTTCATTTTAAAGTAAGAAATGAAGTATTTGCGATATGCGCAAACGTATAGTCTTACCAAGAAAATAGCTATGAACATGTATAACAAAATATCAATTGGACCGAGTCAGTCAAACAGACTTCTAAAATTAGTCCATAGTCCTCACCCATTTGCCAACGTTGTAATCTAGAAATGTCTGTCGTGTTTAACCGACCATCTGACAATATAGCTATGACTTACTTCGCCACTCACCAGCTACGGCAGCCACGCATCGGTCAAGCCGCGACGCAGGTATATCCAGAGACGCATCTCTCGAGCATGTCTTAAGTGCAAATATAGGGGCAGCTAGTATGTGTAATTATGTCAAATAGGTGCATAGATTTATTAGGATTGGAGGCGTACAAATACTAACGTCAAAAATTGAGATATGCTCTCCCCCATCTCATACAGTCCCCCACCCCCGAATTTTGAACTCATTCAAACAAAAAAAGAAGTTTGAGCTGTTTTCATTTTCAAATCTACATAGATTTTTGGACTCAAGCTTATGTGAAAATTTCGTCAACATCCCAGCGGTATTTTCCAAGTTATAGACGGGGCAGTTGTTAGCGCACAGACAGACATACTGACAGACCGATAGATCGCCAGACCGACAGACCAGCGTACCGACGGAAATGTGATGTACATGTAATATAACATTCAAAATCATATACCGTTTTCGAGAATTTTCCGAAAAAAAAAAATCTCTCTGGTGGAGTGGGGAAGTAAAGGGGTCTTTTGGCCATACTTTTTCATATTTATCTTATAACAAGCACCAACATTTTGGCCTGCATGCTACTGATACGTCGGCTAGACCTTGGGCCTGGCTGATGGGACATAAGTCCTAGTGCCTATAAAAAAAAATTCCGTACCATTTTTTATTCTCATGTTCATTCTGAACAAGTGCTCTGTGAAGTTGTTTATAGTTGATTCGCACTTTGTTATTTTTTTTTTCACAGAAAGGTTTTATGTGAGTTTTCTTCAACCGGCCTCCAATAACTAAGCACAGTTTGCGAGGGGAAAATTTTATCAAGCAGTCTATAAGTTTGAAAAATTTACAGGGTACTTCAAATTCGACCCTCACTATCGGGATCTATCAATATCGTTGAGGCGCGAAGTAGTTTAAATGGGAGTAATCAACCAAAAGTCGCTTAAAGAGTTCAGAAATTTGAAGTACCTCCGGAGATAGTCGGAAAAATACAAATACAAGATGGCATAATTGGAACTTCAAATGACGTTTCGTCTCTTGTCCTCCAGTATCAACTTTATTTTTTCTTATAAGCGCCATGTTGGATTTTTCCACAGATAAATTGTGTTTTCAGATTTCAAAAATGTATAATACGTCATACATTGACATAGCCAAACCTTAGTTATTCCAAGAATGTCAGTATTTCCTAGGTGGGCATTGAAATTATCAGATAGTCATTTGTTTCGCATAGCAGATTTATCACAAAATCACCTTTACTTTTTCCTGACATCATTTGAGATGGGATTGCAAAATAAATAGCATGTTGCCAATGTTACTCATTCTCATCTACAAGATGGCGTAGAGAAATTTTCAATTCGACATTTCTTTTTTCAACTTCCATCACCAACTATATTGGAATTTCGTACATTTTGGATGAAAATTATAAGGAAATAAAAAGGTATGGTGAAACCTGAACACAAAATGAAAATTGATGGTAACAACAATAATAATCATAAATAATGAGACGTAAATCAAAGCTGATTTCAAAATCTTTTGCGTTATTTGGCATGACTCTCTTCTGCACAGTGTTAATTTTGAGGTGTGGTCTCGTATACGAAGCAAATGAAGTCTGATAATTTCCAGGACTAAATAGGAACTTTTGTTTTTCTGGAGTAACTAAGGTTTGGCAATATCAATATAATACATATAATATATTATTGAAATCAGAGTTAACTACTCTATTTATCTGCACAAGAATCCATTATGGCGTCTATAAGAAGAAATAAAGTTGATGCTGGAGGATAAGAGACGAAACGTCCTACTGAAATTCTAATTATGCCATCTTGAAGAGGAGAAAAAGTGACAATATTAACGTGCAAATCATTTAGGAATTAAAACGATTTAGGGAGACCTAAGCTTTTTTCGTCTCTCTCCCGAAGTACTTTGAATTTCTAAACTTTCTGAGTGGCTTCTTGTTTACCTGAATAGACAACTTTGCCCCCATGTAAGCGACTTCGTATCTCTTACCGTTTACTCAAAAAATGTATGTTGATGTTTCACTTCCGACACCGCTTACGAGGAAGTATTGTAATCGCGAAAAATGTTGAAATTTCATTTTTCACCAACATCAAGAAAAAATATTCACTTGAAGATTTGGGGTTGTACATCTAATTCACGGAAAACAACTATCACTCATTTCCGTCAGTCTGTCTGTCATTACGCTAATCCTTGGACCCGCTATAAATTGGAAAGTATGTGTCGGAATTTTATGAAATGCTCATACAAGGTTATCACTACGTCAGGGACAATAAACCTTCAGTTTTCGAGAGTCGGCCTAGTGGCGGCTAAGGATAAAGATTAAAAAAAGAAACAAAAATTCCTCATTCTGAACATAAAAGTTACTAAGTAAATTTTCTCTTAAGTTATCGACTTATAACCGATTCCGTGTCTGAAAATATATTTTCCATACTTCAAAGATTACTATTTTTGAGGTTGTAAAGCACTGAATCAAAGCCTAAATCTTCCTCTGACACCCCTAGAAAAGTATATTTTTGCTTTAAGCTTATTCTGAGCCAACTTTTAATCTTGTTTGTTAGGTTAAGCAATGGCGAACTTTTGATTCTCGCACACCCTACCTAGCCAAATTACTTGCTCCCGCTCTTAACTGTCTCATAAGTGATTAATATTTTCCATTGCACTCTTCGACATTTTCTTTATATTTTACTTACGCAATTCATTCGATCGAATGGTTGCCCGCATTTGACTCAATACGCGACTTTCCTGAGAACAAAAGCTTGCAGAAAAAATGAGGGAGTTTGGTTTCCACATCATAAACAAGACTAGCAGCGTGGTAGCGATTCAGCAATAGCATTAATTAAATTCTGTAATTAGAGTTTATGTTAAGAGAGGAACAAGCATCAGGTACTGAATATGAAATTAGAAATTACGATTCGCGGTGCTTGGAATATATACAGCGAAATAAGAAATGAGATACTCGGAGTGTTTTTATCTTCTGTGTAAATAACGTACTGTGAGTCAAACGAGTCGTTTCCATTTGCCACAGCTAGTCATCCTGGGTAAGTAGCATAAAAAATTCTTCTGACTTGCAATTTGGCCTAGTACGGTGCTTCAGGCAGTGAGGCTGGTGGATCGCCTAAGTAGGGGATTCACTTTTGACCAAAGAACTTCTGGATGTCTCAAAGGCATTCGACTAGGTGTGACACTAAGGTCTCCACCAAAATCGACATTAAATTGCAAAGATGATACGTATGAAAGGAATTTAAAATTAATGTAGTAATAAAAAATCTCCAATGTTTGTATATGTATATATGTGTATATATGTATGTGTGGATATATATATATATCGACGACCTCAAATCAATACCTCGTATATCAAAAAGTAGCATTTTGCAGGAGGCATAAAAAACTGCACAGCTTGAATATAAAAGATCATATCCATGTGAGGTATTAATATTTAGGATCTTGGAGATATTAAATCGACTCCTATAACTGGTTTGAACAATAACTGTTTGTTGTTCACTTTATTTTGTACATACGAGTTATTGAATACAAAAAATCCTTGACTTACGTGTTTCTGTCGTAGTCACCTGGGAATTTTAAATTCCATAAAAACAAAATAAAAATAAGCAAATAAGTTATAACTTAGTTAAACAGCTATTTTAAAGTATACTTGTTAAGAAGACATAGATCACAAAAAAGAATTGGACTGTGGGTGGGACTACATTATGTTTGTTGGGCGGCTTAGTCCAAAACTCGCCTTACAATCGATAATAACGAATGGAGATAAAAAGAACTAAATGGAGCTGAAGCAATGCCTGACCGCGGTAAACCTTTTTGTGGACCTATGCTATCTTTTATCAGGTACAACATAAAAAAAAATAACACAAATGAAGTTATTGCACAACGTAATGAGTCGCTAGCAACAATGAAACTATTCGTAGTGAGGTAGCTGGTCATAAAACGGCCAAACGTCCTTAGACAAAACTGCCTTTAACTTTTGGAGGTGGTCGAATTTGGTGTTTTTAATCTTCTGTTGTTCTTTGTGTAACTGCGTTAGAACTACATTCTCTGTTGGCTTTGTACGGGTAGTCCTCATCGGCAGTTCTTGATAAGGGTCGTCAAATTTCAATTTATAGAAGATTTTTCCAGTTGGGGAGTATTGCAGTGCTCGGAGATCCGTTACGGTAGGATCGTTAACCTTTCGTCCAGGTCTTATCGACTTATATACTTGCACGTTGTTATAATTAGTAAAAAAATCATGATCAACCATTACTGATTCATATTTGAAGGGCTTTGACCTTGATTCTTCACATATCCTTACATAGTCACTTGGTAGAACTATCTTTCTGTCAATTAGTTTTCTTTCTATTGTAGCATGCACACTATCACACTCCATTTGAGTGTGTCCCTTTATCAAGAACTTTTGCTCAATTGTGACATTCAAATCCATAGCCAAACGCAACAGTGCATTAGACATAATGGTGTTTCGGTTCTGATAAGTGCAACCATCCGAGTATATTTTATAATTATTGGTTTTTCAGAATTAAAATGTTTTCTGATGTAATCTACAATAAATGAGGCAAACGTTGAGGCCTGTAAGTCACTACTAGTTTCATCAAACCAATAACAAGTACAGTCTCTCGTCGCTAAATTGTAGACGGTGAAATTGTGGACACATAGCTTGGTTTTGAAGTATGCCGTACTAGCCATCACTGATGGACACACTTTAACAGCTTGCAAATCCATTGTCAGAACGTGTTGAGTACCTGTCAAAGCTTCCTCTTTATCTTTGCTTTTTTCCACTCTTGCCCGCTCTTTTTCAGCTTGATGTATTTTCCAAGTTTCTTTAGATATGTTTTTCTCTTCATATTGACAGCAGATGTCACATGCATCCTTTTTGGGCTGATACAACGCAATATTCAGTTTCTTCACCATCTTAGTAAGGGAATTTTGGCTCATGGGCTTTTCATTCGACTTCTCACAATGTTGAACATAAGCCTGGTAAAGACTCGTAATGTTTCTGAACGACTGTTCTAAGTATAATTTTTTTGAGTCCTTACGACAATAGTGCGACGGCAATTTGTTTAAGTTATCTAAAAATTGCTTCATAAAAACATTATGTTAGATTGCCGATTTGAAAATATCCCTCCTATTTCTCTCCTTTCTGGTTTTTTATCATGAATTCCGTGTTCACTCTTACATACCCAATGAAGTACTTGCCATTCTCTCAGTCCAAATGTTGAAAGAAACATTTTCTTACACACAGGCATATTCACTGAGCCTACCTTCAAATGATATTTCAATGTACCAGTGCGTCTAGATTCCAAATTCATCATGTTTTTTTTATCCTTGACTGGTATCTTCATGACCAAGCTTGCCACATATGTTTTTCTCTGCTCCCAGTTTAAATCAGACCAGAATTTTTTGAAAATATCTTGGCGTATACTTTCATCAACCTCATTGCATTTTCTTTTTGATGACTTAATACAAAATTGTGACGAACATCCTAAAGATCGTTTTCTCGGTTCCCTTTGTGCATCGTGAAACGTGTTCGTTTGATTTTTTGGCCTTCTGTAGCCTACGTATTGCTTTCCTTTCATTCGAAGATCTTGATTGATTTTTTTTAAGTTTCCACCAGCTAAGCGTTTTCGTGGTTGTACCTGTACTTCCTCGTCGCTGAAACTATTTTCACGATATTTCGTGACTTTTGACTGTATTTCACTATCTTTTTGGCAACCCATCTCCTTAAGTACTGAAACTTCGAGTCCTGCATTTTCAGCTGCTGCCTCAACACCTGGAGTTTGATTTTGAACGATATCTGAACACTCGAATTCTGGATCTGCAAAGTTTGTAGCTTCAGATAGTCCTTCGACTTCTGAAACTTCTCCGTGAACAATTTCCATATTGTCAAACTCCGGAACTGCTAGACTTGTAGTTTCAACTGATTCTAGAATTTCTGCATCAATCATACCAAACGTTTCTATAAAACTCTCGTTGACTATGTCTACTGGTAGATCTAAGATATTGAAGTTTTCTTTTTCGCTGATATTCGGAGTAGTAATAGTGACATTGTCTTTTTTGCTAGACATATACCCCACTGGTACTTTATGTGGTGTGTTGTTACACAATTCCAGTATACGTTTACTCCGGGAGCTCATATTGTATCATTCTGTAATTGAAAACAATACCACGTAAGTCATATATTCCGGAACACAAATTCATTATTATATCATGTACAATAGCTCGTAAGTCAAGCGTCTGTTTTACCAACGAATATTACTGAATAGGCACCAACTATTTTAAAAATTTTTAGTTCTCAGCTATCTAATAAGTTTTCTGACAAAGTATGACATTCTGTAGTTTTATTTTACACATGCATATACAGTATTGCAACAAACTTACCAGCACATTCACGCTATACAGCAAACTTAACCTAGAATATAGGAGATATACGCGCTATTGAATCCATTTTTCATCGCTCCGATTTACGTGGTATTGTTTTATGTATTTATGCAACCAAACTAGCAGCTATATACGGCTCGCTGTCTAACTGTAGCTAGGGAAGACTTACAGGAATCAGAAGCGATCAAAATAAGAAAATCAGCATTTTCGGACTTACGAGGTATTGATTTGAGGTCGTCGATATGAGTATGTACATCTACTTATGTTTTTATATGGATATATAAGTATATATGTATACGAGCCCCTTCCCACTTCAGTTGGCCCACTTCAAGATTTGTACCAAAATAAACTAAACATGACGAAACTATTTACTTCTAAAACAATTTATTTTCTCAAAAACATTTTAGATACACTCTAGTCGTAAAAAATACATATTTGAAATCACTTAGACCTATAACTAATAGAACATCTGAACAAATAAACAATGTGCGAATAAATGCGCGAAGTTAACAAAGCGACAATTGAAAGATTACCATTGGGTAACATCACCTTTATTTTTTATTATAGCTGAAATTCTTTGGGGCATAGTGTTAACCAAGTTTTGGCAAAAATTTAGTGTAAAAACAATCCCATATTTCTTGAAGATTTTGTCTCAGTTCGGTGATTGTACGAGCAGGATGTTGTCGTAGAACCGTTTTCATCACGTGCCACAAAGCTTCAATAGGTGACAGATCTGGACTGCTAGAAACCCATTTCAAAAGTGGTACATTATTTTCTTCTATCCATGTTATAGCCTTTTTTGAGGTATGGCACGCTACACCATCTTGCTGAAACACAAAATCTTGGCCGGATGTCAAACATTCTTCCATCACTGGTAAAAGCGATTCTTCTAAAATTGCCAAATATTTGTTTGTATCCACATTTCTATCAATAAAAGTTTTCCTACTCCTTTTGATGATATACTGCCCCAGACCATGATGGATGCTGGAAATGTCACTTTTCTTTTCCGACAGTCAACATGAAATGCTTCATTTTTTGCGAATAACTCTACTGCGACTGTCACCAACACAAACTTCCAATCGGGCCTCATCACTCCATTGTACTGCACACCATTATTGAGGTATCCATTGTCTATGTTCTTTAGCCCATCTAAGCCGATTTTTCTTTTGCAGTGGAGTTAATAGTGGCTTTTCTTTGGTCTATAAACAAGTTGTGCAACTTTAGGTTTTTTACTTCACTTTTTTTATAAGAAAACTTACCTTGCAAGTGCTAAATCACAGTTTTTGGGCCTCTCTATGAGTTGTGGACCTCGAAATTCTCCTTCCAACAGCGTCACTTCACAGAGCACTTAATTGTAAATAACTGGCACGCCTTTTTTTCATGATTATTCTTCTTAATGCTCTTTGGTCATCATTTGTGATTATTATATTACTTTTTTTTCACATATCGTGGCTTAATATTAACTGAACCAGTTACGTTATATCTTCTAACAATATTTCTCACACTGTACCGCGATAAGTCTAACAAAGTTGCAATTTCTGAGTTTGATTTCCCAGAATTAAAAAAATTAATTATCAGTAACCGAATTTTCTCACTAATAACCTTTCCTCTACCCATTTTGAAAACCTTAACTACCCAAAACTATTTTAAACGTATTCTGACAGCTGTGATTAATAAAAACAATTGTCATGGCTTTTATTTTTCACAGACACCTATGCGTTATATACTTATTTTGAATTAAAATGAAAATAGGTTGATATGGTGTAATTGCAACATGTGTTATTTTTATGCTGCAAATGTGATTAGGGAGTGATAAAGTTGGTGTTTTCTACTATATATTATCAAAATATTCATTGTTAATATTTTAAACCTATAACACCGATTTCAATAGTTGGGCCAACTGAAGTGGGAAGGGGCTCGTATATACTATATGTGTATGTTTGTGTAAAATGTAGGTTAATCCCACGCACAAGAATTTATTCTTCTGTGGGTAAATTCAGATTATTTACGAATACCGATGTTAGTTTTAGTTATATTTGTATGTTACGTAAATAAATTTATTATTATTATTATTATTATTATTATTATTATTATTATTATTATTATTATTATTATTATTATTATTATTATCGTATATTATTATAAACTAATTCAAAATGCCTTCCCATTCTGGACTTTAGATCTTCAAAATCCTTCTTTGAAGATAGGAAATTTCGGATCAAAATTAATAAAATTCTGTCTAGAGCCCGGCGCGTGCAGCCTTGTGCGGGGCCGGTGCTCTTCAGGGGTTCATCCTCGGGCCAGATTGGATAGGATTGGAAAAGGGAGGGGCGTACACATGTTATAATCCATTTCTTGACTCAAAGCGTTGCCGTCAGCGGCTTCAATCTCCAGGAGGCAACCGGTCTCGTCCTGCTGGACGTGGAACGAGCCTTCGACCGAGTTTGGCACGATGGACTCATCGCCAAAATGGAAGCCGCCGGAATCGATGCGAACATGTGCCAACTAATCCAGAGCTATCTAACACAAAGATGGTTCACGGTGAAGATTGGTACATGCCATTCAACAAGATGACAGCTGGAAGCAGGCGTGCCCCAGGGGTCAGCCTTAGCCCCCCTGCTCTACAACATCTATACTTACGATGTGCCGAAGACAGCTGACACAATGCTGGCCCTATATGCAGACGACACTGCTATAGCCGCCAAGCATAGACGACCCGAGATCATCCGTAGGAGACTACAGGATGAACTGGACCAAATTCAGGACTGGTCCGTGAAATGGAAAATCCGCATCAACGTCCAGAAGACGCAGGCAATCTTCATTCAACGAAGAAGGATTGCAAGACCTCTCGAAGCATCCATCTTCGATGAAGATATCCAGTGGAGCGACAATGTCAAATATCTGGGGATCGTTTTTGACAAGTCCCTCACCTGGAAAGCGCACATAGAAGCTGTCATCGCAAAAACCAGAGCAGCCATGGCTCAACTCTATCCATTACTGGGTAGACACAGCCAGATGCCGCTAGCGACCAAGCTACGGCTGATCAAGGCCATCGCCAGACCTCAGCTCGCTTACACCTCCGCGGTCTGGGGGTACGCTGCCCCCAGCTACCGCAAGCGACTTGCTGCTCTAGAGATGAAGCTACTCCGGATCGCCACCAATGCACCTTCCTACGTAAGGAACTCAACCTTGCCTAGAGACCTGCATTGGGATACCATCCACGAGTACATGAGGAAAAAAGCGGAGAAGACCTTCGAGAAAGCTCAGGACCACCCGAACGAGCAGCTACGATTCCTCATGGACTACGATCCGGACGAGAGGCCTCGCAACCGCAGAACCAGGTACCCCAGACCAAGGTCCCAGTTGGCACCCGCTAACTGGAACCTTGTCTAGGAGACTAGGAGATCTTGCGGCTGCTAGCCCCCCCCCACCCCACGGCGTGGATGCAGAGGACCAGGAACCACCGGGACCAGGACCCACCGGGACCAGGACCAGGACCCGCCACGACCAGGACCCACCAGGACCAGGACCCTTCAGGACCAGGACCAGGAACAACATATTGGTAAGAGGACTTGAAACTCTTGATTTTTCGAAAACAAGAGTTTCAAGAGAAACTAGCAGACCCTCTATCGATGATCGCTTAACGACATCGATAGAATGTGCGAGGTAAAGGGAACCAACCCGGCGTTCCCAGAGACTGAAACACATGAGGAGACGTTGTAGCAGACCGCAGGTCACGCACAACACATGGCCTACCGAGACGCTGATGAGTCGGGCCACGCGGAGGTTTAGGGTTTAGTGGGTATTAGGTGATCTCCTCAAGACCCTGGAGCCCCACACACGCCGTAGCTCGTGCTATGGTATGGTGCGTAAATGCATTCCCCCCTCGTAAAAAAAAAAAAATAAAAAAAAAAATAAAAAAAAAAAAAAAAGCGTTGCCGTCATGTTACTTTCAGTCGCAACCATGGAGCCATGGACGTTAGAACAGTGCGTATTCGCTTACGATTATTTTGTGAGGGGTGGCGAGTCGGTGACTGCAGTACAACGTGAATTCCGCCGAAGACATGAAAATCCGCGAGAATTGCATGAAAAGCTACTCTGCAGCACAAAGGTGCGCGGTGACAAAATTTGGCGTCATTGGACCATATTTTTTTTTTTTAAAGAAAATGGGGTTACCGTTACTGTAACATCTGACCGTTACATTAATACGGTAACAGCTTTTTATACCTGCATTTCAAAGAAGAGGGATGGATGTGCAAGATTAGTGGTTTCAGCAAGATGGGGCCACGGCTCATAACGGCAGAGCATCTATTGCTATTCTTCGCCGCCTGTTTCTGGTTTGGTGACATTTTATAGCCTCGCCGGTCCCCTGACTTCTCCACATGCTATTTTTTTTGTGGGGATACCTTGTCGCGTATTTACGAGATGCATTGAAGGAAGCGATTCGTCACGAAGTTAGCCTAAACAATAGACGTCTACAGAAAAGAGTGGAGACAAATTTTCGAGAACGACCTCAGCATTGAGTCAATGAGAAACGGTGATCACGGCCAGCTCTGTTATTTTCCATTCATAAATATCTTTAAATGCTTTGTTCTTACCTATATTCTGCTACCAATAAAATTTGTTTAGAGTAAAATCTTTCGATTTTACTATTATTATAAAAACACTTGGTTCCTATGCCCCACCCTGTATAATAATAATAATAATAATAATAATAATAATAATAATAATAATAATAATAATAATAATAATAATA